GAGCTTCAAGACTCCACATGGCCTCCCCGGCTCTCCCGCTGTGCTGCTGTTACCTCTGGGGAGTATTAATAGTCTCTACTCCAGCTGCTCAGCTGGTGGAAAGGGAGGGGCTGGTCCAACTCTCCCTGCTTGGCTCCTGGAGCTTTTGGAGCTGCTGTTACCTCTGGAGAGGCTAAGAGTATTAAATAGCCTCCATTCCAGTCGCTCAGCTGGTGGAAAGGGAGGGGCTGGTCCAACTCTCCCCGCTTGGATCCTGGAGCTTTTGGAGCTGCTTACATTCCTATATATGGCATAAATTGCCTTCCCCCTTTCCTGTTAATGAGTTCCAATTCATAGTTGGAAGATTTGTTTGGGGAGTGCAGGGAGGTTATGGCTGAGGATAGTTCGAGATTTGCTTTTATCTTTTTAAATTAAAAAAATCTTGTCAAAAATTAAACTAAAAATGTAAAAAGCAATAAACTTCCTATTCAGTCTTTGCTATGTTTTAGAAAAACCCAGACCATTTGCCTTTTGAAATTCTTCTTAGTTCGACCCTCATTCTGCAGGTAGGGATTCCGAGAAACGAGAAAAAGACACTTTTCTATGTTTTGAATTTAGGGAACATACAACAATTATATTATTTGTATCTCATTTGTCTTTTATGGAGTCATTGCTTTTTACTTCATAATAGCCTTGTAGTATTCATATGGATAAGACAGATTGATTAGCCCAGACTTCCACAGCTGGCTATGCTCCAGATGTTTTGGATTGTCATCTCCATAATTCCTGACCATTGGCCATAATGGCTGGTGCTAGTGAGAATTGTACTCTAGAAAATCTGAGGATGTTGATGAAGGCTGGACTAGCTAAAGCAAAAATCTTCACCCAGGTCTCTCTCACTCCAACCTATCATTCTGTTATAACCTCTAGGGCAGGGGTCAGCAACCTATGACCTGCGGGCTGGCCCCGGCCCCACGAGGCCTTTGGACTGGCCCCAGCCCGGTCCTGCCACCGCCGCCGCCGCCGCCACCGCAGTGTGAGTTGCGGCCACCATTTTGTTTTCCAGAATGGCAGCCGTGACTTGTTCGCGCATGCGCCGGAGTACTGTGCATGCACAAATGAGTTGCAGCTGCCATTTTGGAAAACAAAATGGCAGCCGTGACTCATTCACGCATGCGCAGTATGCTGGAAGTATTGCGCAAGCACGCGTGACTGTGCGTGCGCATGTGCAGTACTTTCAGCGTACTGCGCATGTGCAAGTGAGTATGTGCACGTGGTGCCATTCCCCCCCCCTCATCCCGCGGAAGAGCTCCGGACCAGCGGACCAGACCGAGGTAGGTAAAAGTTGTCTACCTCTGTTCTAGGGGTAGCTGTGTTGGCCATACAGCAAATCCAAAAACATCCAAACAGTGATACCTTTATGGAGCCAACCAAAATGCACAACTACATGCTGCAAGCTTTTGAAGTCACACTGGCTTCTTCATCAAGCAAACAGGATAAAAAAATTGAAGATGTTAGTCTTGGGCCTGCATTTTCTGTTTCAGTTCAGATGTTAGGGGAAGTTATCACATTTTAGCCATCACAAGGGAATCCTAAAGAGAGAACCAGCACACTGGAACCTTGCTATCAGAGGTTTCTGCCTCCAGCAAAAGTAAAGCAATTTTTCTAATATTGGGACTGATTGGCATGCTTTACCCCTACATCACCTAAAGTTTTCCTGATGCAAAACATGAAGACTTCTTGAGAAATTAAGTGTTCTCTACCTGCATAAGGAGACTTTACAAAGGAAAGAGACATGCTGGATTCCAAGGAAACATCTTCTTTGGATTGCAAATGGACATTAAATTTCCTTGGCTTGCAAAATTTTCCAGTGACTGCATGGCCAAAGGAGGATGAGCTAACCTGAAGATAGTCATCCCCTAACATCTAAACTGAGATCAGAAACAGAAAATGCAGGCCCAAGACTAACTTTTTCATTTTTTTTCCTTCTGTTTGCCTAATGAAGAAGCCAGTGTTACTTTGAAAGCTTGCAACATGTAGTTGTGCATTTTGGTTGGCCCAATAAAGGTATCACTGTTTGAATGTTTTTGGATCTGTTGTAGCCTGTTACTCACCATGATGTCTTCCACGTGTGTTGGTAAGCTCCCAGCATCTCCAGGCATCATGCTAGGGAAAGATAGAAAGTGTCACCCAAAACATCAGAAGGGGACACAGCTGGAAAGGGTTGTAGATTTTAGGATAAGAAGTGTTTTTTTCTTCAGTCCATTTGGTTGTTGACAGCATGATAATAACATTCACACACCCCTGCCTGCCAGTTCCCAATATATCCCATCTTATCAGGAGGCATTCTGTAGTCCTGTACTGCACCTGTGGGAATCATCCAAAATGTTAGTGTTTGAAGTTAGAAGAACTGATTCTGGATGTAACTGAGGGGAACTGCAGATGGGTGGCTCTGGTGTCAGAACACTGCACCAGAAGGGCTTCCTGATGCTGCATGCTGTGCATAACGGTGTGTGGTGTCAGGACGGCATCAGCATGGGGTTGGGGCAGCTGGCATGCAGCCCTTTGGGCCGGTCGGCAGAGGCCCTGAGATTGCAATACTGTAGTAAAGTCACGCCTCCATATCCACAATTTTTTAATCCATGTATTCAACCAGCCACAGCTTGAACATATTTTTTTTAGAAAATACAAATTCCAAAAAACAAAATTTGATTTTGCCATTTTATATAAGGGGCACTCTTTTACTATACCATTGCATTTAATGGGACTTGAGCATCCACAGATTTTGGTATCCATCACGAGTCCTGGAACCAAACCCCAGTGGATAAGAAGGACCCACTGTATTAAGAAAAGTGCATTTGACTAGAAGGAATGAATATTATAAGAAGACTGTAAAAGCACCACTGCATGCAATGTCTTAAGAAAAACTAACTACACTGTTTTTCCCAAAGA